CTAAAGCTGCTGCAAAGTCTAACGACATAAATTTGCAGAAAGCTGAGTTCACACTATGTCTGAAGCTATGGGGTGAAGACCCAAAGACACGGTATTTTTATAACTGCTTCTTTAAAATGTTCTGTGCTGCCCTCACTGGGAAGCTTAGTTGGTGAGAGCGTCATCCCAATATGCCAAGGTTGTGGGTTCAATCCCCGGTCAGGGCACATACAAAAATCAACTAACAAATGAATAAATAAGTGGAACAACAAACTGATGTTTCTCTTTCTCCCTTCCTCCCTAAAAAAATCATGAGGCTGACCAACTTTTAGTCTTTTATTTCCTCATAATGTAAGACTCACTGTAAAATATATTCTCTCATCTAAAATCTGGGTAAGTCATTAAACAAGGAGGTTAATGCCTTGTCACATGACCAACATGATTTTTATCATAAATAATTTAACTAGAAAACAAAGGAACAAAAAAATTTTAAGTGTGCTTAATTATAATTTAGTTCTACTTAGACCCTAACATTTTTACCCAAATCTAGGTAAAATGTTTCTGGAAATGTCTTACTGTTCACACCTTCTAAATGTTTGTTACACATTTATGACAAAATGTTTACATATTTTGGTAACATGGAGGCAAAGAAATAAGAATACTTTAATCTTACAATTTCTAATTGTTGACCATAGTCTTCACTTTCTATAACCTTGATCAGTGGCTTAAGCTTTTCTTTCAGCTTTTTTCCTTCATTCAATGGAAGAATGAACCGAAGTCTCATGTGAGCACGTTCTATCTTCATTTTCTCTTTTAACTGCTTTATCACTTCCAAAGCCTATCAAGACAAAATTGAAAATGTTTGCAATTTCTTTGCAGCTTCTGCGGCTTTATTTCATAAAGTATTCAAAGCAAAGCTGTTTCCATCTAGCTGGATTAGGCAATGGTTTCCTAGATACGATACGAGCATTAGCAAACACATTAAAAAAACAGGTAAGTTGAACTTCAAGATGAAATACTTTTGTGTTTCAAAAAACTATGTAGAAAAAAGACAACCTCAAGGATGGGAGAAAATATTAGCAAACTATATATTTGATAAATACTACTATCCAGAATATAGAAAAACTCTTATGACTCAATAATAAAGAGACAAATAAGTAATTAAAAAGTGATCAAAGGATGAACACTGATTTCTCTAGAGAGATACCAGGTCAATAAGCACATGAAAATATGCTCAAATCATTAGTCATGAGGGAAATGCAAATCAAAACCAGAAGTTAACCCTAGGATGGCTACAATAGAAAAGGCAGACAGTTACAAATATTGTCAAGGATGTGGAGAAATTGGAACCTTTGAACACTGATTGTGGAAATGTAAAATGGTATGGAATGATTTGGCAGTTCCTCAAAAGGTTAAACATAGAGTTACCATGTAACCTAGCAATTTCACTTCTGGGTATAGAGAAATGAAAATGTGTCCACAAAACACCTGTAATGAATTTCATAGCATTATTCACCATAGCTAAAAAATGGAACCAAGCCAAACATCCATCAACTGGTGAATGAATTAATAAAATGTGGTTATTTCCATACAATGGGATATTATTCAGCCACAAAATGTTAAATATTTGTCTGCAAAAACAATACATGTATCACAGCAAGAATGAAGTACTGATACATGTTACAACATGGTTGAACCTTGAAAAGGTTGCATGTTGTATGATTCCATTTATATGAAATGTCCAGAATAGACAAATCCTTAGACACCGGTCACCAAGCGCTTGTGACAGTGGGTAATGAAGAGTGACTGCTAATGGGAACAGGGTTTCTTTCTAGGGTAATGAAAATGTTCTCAAATTAGGTAGTAGGAAAGGTTGCAAAACTTTGTGAATATACCAATGAATTAATTATACATTTTCAAAGGGTGACTTTTATGGCATGTGAATTACACATACTTTTTTTAAAAAACCAAAGAAGCAGACTTAAAATGACTCTTTAAAAATCCAAGTTTTATCTTTAAAGTTTTGATTTGGATCAAAAGGTGAGAGTCCTATGTATATTTGTGTTTAGTTAAAAAAAAATTCCATTTCTCTTCTCTACAATACATATCTTTTCTCTCCCCTCTCCCCAAAACCTACCCACCAGCTTTCAGGTAGTATTGTTTTATTATTACAGACCAATTATTTTAACGATTTCTTCAGAGAAAAATGATTTTCATGGATATTTTCTGATAACATTAAAAACCACTAACCTGCTGTTTTGTACTCTTGTTGGTTTTGACTGAATAGTGGATGTCTTTCATTGCTCTCTCGATAAGGATAACAGTATATGGTCTCTTTGTTTCAGGATTCACACATTTGTCAGCCACAATAGTTGCAATGTCCCTAAACATCTGCTCCAGCTGTGTATGTCGTTCTTTATCTGATACTTGAACCTCCCCTTTAGTCAAAATCTTAAAAAAAAAAATCCCAACAAATTTAAGAAGTAATGTCTTATACTATTTATTAATTAACCACAAGAATAACTATGAAGAAAATTAAACTTTATCCTCTTTAGCTACTGAAAGGTAGGTAATAATTTGAGCTTTGTCTAAGGAGTGCACTGGATTATCTTGTGCTCCAAAATATCACTTATTTGGGATTAGGAGGGGAAAAGCCAATCTTAGCAAAGGGTCTAAATGATGAACTACTTGAAAAGAAATTCTATTTTCAGGTACATTAAAATACATAAATACATAATTAAAATACAAAGAAACATAAATAAATAAGGCAATTTAGTACAACATTTAATTTCTGGAAGCTTTGGCAAAAAAAATCTATGTTCTATATGGCGACAGACGGCTAACAGACTTATTGTGGTGATCATTTCATAAAGTATATAAACGTTGAATCACTATGTTGTACACCCCAAACTAAGGTAACATTGTATGTCAACTACACTTCAATGAATAAAATCCATGTCCTGAATTATTAAAAGTGATATTGTGCAGATCAAATTATTGTGTGCTAACTGTTCAAGCCAAAAAACAACACAAAAAACAAAAACACCCAAACAAACCGTAAGTTTAACATACCTCTAAGCACTTACACTACAATTGGATAGTAGGGTCAGTTATGCTGCAGCTGTTAAAACCCACCTGCTTACAGATTTCAGTCTGATCATCTGTTCCAAATGCACTGATGAGATCTTCCTTCTTTGCAACCTGACCCTTAGAAACATTTACAAACACTGAGTGGGTCTGTAGCACTTCATCAAGGTCTTTTTCCCTTGTGAGGAGAGGAGAGAAAAGTCCTAAGTCAATGCACTTGAAACTTGAAAATTCATTTATTTATATTATTCATATAAACGGGAAGAAACAATAAATACTCCTAAAAGACCCTCGGTGCTAAGCAAATAGCTTCAAAAACGCAGAACCGCGATTGCATTGGCATTTACTCGGAGAAAAACGTCGTGGGAGGACGTACGAAACACTGGCGGGTGTGGATCCGGCTGCTGCCATTGCATACCGATCGCTAGGTGGCGGTAGCGAAGACACTACGCACTTTGACGATACTGGGTTGAGATCTGTGACATCAATTGCACTATAATATTTGTAAGCTAGGCTCTTTATCATTATTCTGGCAAAATGACTATAATTAAGGGGGTTTCTTGGCTGTAGCCTTTGTGACAGTATCAAAGTAAAGCAAAACCAAACTCCCAACAGACAACCCCAAACCAAACAAGAAAGGAATGCTTAGTTTAGGCACTAAGCTCAGGGGAAAAAGTGACTTCTCACGCTTCCAGCAGGAAAACGTTTTCCATTTCTTTCCCTGATGACCCCAGCTTGGCCTATTTATTCGACCATCAGAGGCCGGTCGCCTCAGAGGCTACCACCTCCCGCCAGAGTCCGGAGGGAGAGGGTCACTCACACGCCGCTCCGCCAGCCGACGACTTTGTTTTTGTAGCAGGCGATTTCGAAACGCTTCCCGGCGCGCTTCATGCGTACCACAGCCACATTTGTTAGGCGGATCTGGTTGGTGGGGGTGAAGATGGACATTGTGGCTGCTCAGATTTTGAGCCCGACGAACCACGGCAGACCTGCGCCGCCGGCCTGAGAGCCGCCTACGCGTCACTGTAACGACCCGGCGGGTACAGTCTGGCCCGCAGAGGGCTAACCCTCGCGACTAAGTAGGCCTAGCTGACGGCCACCACACACTCGGATGACTTACAGCGCAGGTTTCAGGTTGTGGGAAAACCGAACCAGGAAAAGCGAGAAAGAACGCCTGCGCATTGTGGCTCTTACGACATCATTCCGTGCCCGAAAAGACAGACGCTTTTACTGAGGTAAGATAATTTCGCCAATGAGCGGAAGAGTTCCGATTGGCTGTTGAAGCTGACATTGGTAGACCGGCTCGAAACTCAGCGCCGGACTCATGGTTCCGCAGAGTTCAGGGCCACCCTCACCCACCTTAACAAAAAAATTTTAACATGTAAACAGAGAAAAAAGTGTAATGAATGCCCATGTACCCATAAACCTGTTTCATTAGTTATCGATATTTTGCTATTCTTGTTTCTTTCTCCCTCATTTTTGTTGTATTTTAAAGCAAATCATAAGAATTACCTTTAAATACTTGTGTCCTAAAATACACCCAACATGATTAACTGTAATTCATATCATCTAAGAGCCAGTCCATAATCAAATTTCCCCTATATAATGTCCTTTTACAGTGTGTGTCAACAGAGATGCAAACGGGCCCACAGATTGCACTTGGTTGATGACGCCCTTAGTCTCTTTTAACGCCCCGTTTCCCCCCACCCCCACCCCTTTTTTCCCTAGGTTACTCCAGTTTTGACGGACCCATCCCTCCTCCTCGGTGCCAACTACGGAGACTACGGGATAGCTCCGGCCGCTAACCACGAGTTCTGGGCGGTGCGTGCCTTTGGGCACGCCCCTTCCTCCTCTGAGCCAATCCGAGCAGGACCAGCGAGCTCCGGCTTCCTCGTCCAGAGTTCTAGGCGGTGTTCATCCCCGGGGCCGCCCCTTCCCCCTCTGAGCCAATGTCGAGGAGCCCGCGAGTGGCATGGCTGCCCTATGTTCGGCGGTTTCAGGTTCTGGAGCTAGTGCTGCGAGGTAGTTCTGACTGTCTCCGGGTACTCAAACTAGCCAGGTTTTTCAGGTCCGCGATCCTAGTCTCCTGTCGTGACGCAGAGCCCAGGCTTTGAGGATCATGGGTAAGGGCCCCCGGCGGACAACGTTGGTGAGGCAGGAGGGGAGAAACCGTTTTTTTCTGAGACCCTCTCCCAGTGGAGTGGTGTTCTCAGGGCCCTTCAGAGATTGTTGCACTTGCCAGCACGGGTACCGCTGAGGGCAAGGGAGGATTGATCTCTGCTTTTGACTTGGCTTTTGCCTTTTGCTTCTAACCTCAACTAAAGGGCGGAGAAAACTGACATCCCACCCCGTGCTCTACCCACGTGTATTGAGGACCTTTCCAGGGTGGAGCATCTTATGTGGACCCCGCCTTTTAGGCTTTGTCTTTTGAAATTGACCCCAGGTTTAACATTTGAGGCCAGGTCCATCTATATCTCCCTTCAAAAAATGGAGCGTGCGGCCAGTTATTTAAGAACCCGTTGCAAGCAGCCCATCGGTCTTTAAAAATAAAATGAGAAAAAAGGGAATTGTTTCAATACTATTTAAAGCTTTCCTCATGGAGAAAGCCTAGCAGAAAAATGAATTCATATCACATTAAGTGTTTTGACTCTGTATTCCCTTCACTTGCTTTCAAATGCTACCAAATAAAGATAATGCATATATTTATATATATTTGAGTTAGCATAATCATAATTTTATCACATTGACACAATGTATTATTAGGGTTGATTTTCTATAGATTCATTAGCTTTGTTGAATATGGAGGTTGGGAAGTTTTTTTTAAAAAAATTTTTAAAATAAGGGTGGACATCTTTGTATATGTAGCTTTAAATAAAATTACATATATGTATCATTTTAAATTTAGATCCTTTGGATACATGGGACTTCTCATCTTTAATATCATTATGGATAAACAGATTTTACCTATATCTGGGCTTTGCCTTTGGTATTAGCCTTTGGATTTGTTTCCAGATTGCCATCAGGAAGCAGGTAATTGGAGTTATTTTTTATAGAAGAGTATTTAGGCATCAGATTATATAGAGAAGAGTATTTAGGCATTAGATTATCAGATTATATAGCAGATTTTCTAAGGCTTTCAGAAAAATGCAGAAAAGCTAAAAGGAACTTTAAATCACTTTTATGTTTAGTCTGTAGACATTCTTTTTTATGCCTAAAGAAGTTTATTCTCAGTTTTTGCAGGTTAAATTATTACAGACTATGTTATTTACTTTTTCTTTGATGTGCTGTGGAGGATGTCTCATTCTTAAGATGCAAGAAGATTTTGCAATGAAATTAAACTTTTGTAAAAAAACCCCAAATTTTTCTTACATCTTTAAGGGGTAGTAGTCTCTTTCCACTAATTAAGGATCAGAAAATAAATGTCTATTCTTATCCCACTAAAATACAATTTGAATGAAGTATGTATAGTTTTGTCTTTGAATAATACTTTTATTCATATAATAATGTAATGGGAATCATTTTGGTCTTAAGAAATGTGGGTTCTGCCTTTTAAGGACCTAATTATACCAGAGGGTTAATATTTGAGGAGTTTACCCAGAAAGATTAAGAGAATAATAAAATGGGTCAGTATCTGTGCTACTTTTCATTCCTACTGAAGTTAGGAAAAGATTCAAGGTTGATGGATTTGTGTAGTTGTTTATCTTCAAGGACAAGAACTCACAGGAGAAATCAGTTCCAAAAGCAACTCGGGATGTGATGACAAATGGTTATGTCTCTCTTCAAAAGAAGGAAATTTTTGTGTCTGGAGTGAAGATATTCTATGGTTCCCAGACTGGTACAGCAAAGGTAACAGCTTTTTTTTTTCCCCCCCCTTAAATCCTCAACCAAGGAGGTATGTTCATTGATCTTAGAGAGGAATGGGGGGGTGAGGGGGGAAAAAGAGAGAGAGAGTGAGAGAGAGATTGATCTGCTGCCTCTTGTACACCCCCACAAGTGGGGATTGAACCCACAACCTAGGATGTGCCTTGACCGGGAATCAAACCCGCAACCTTTTGGTGTATAGGACAGTGCTCCACCCAACTGAGTCATACTCGCAAGGGCCAAGGTAAGAACTTTTTATGACACTTTTCACTGGATTCCTGATCTTTTAAGAAAATCCCTGAAAAGTGTCTTAGTAATAAACTGAATTGGTCTTCCAGTCTTCTTTCATTTTCTTTTTTTTTCCCCTTTTCCGGCATCCTTTTTCCTTTATGGGATGGTTGGTAGGTTTTATCTCTTGTGCCCAATTCCAGGTGACTTGTGGTGTCTGGTGGTCACTGTGGTGAGGTATTTTTGTTGTGAAGCTTATTTCTGTTTAAGCAAAACAGAAGGAGTTGCTACTCCATTATTGTTGCCTGTTGGTATAGGAGTAGGGAGTAGTGAAAAGTGAATGGCAGTAGTAGTGTCCGGTGTGGGCCCTGAATTTCACAACTTCACACATCTATTTAATGAAATGTATTTTGACTTCTAATAGTGTCAAAAGTATTAATCATAGACACGGAATACTATTTATAGTACATATCTGCATATATGTAGCTGAAAGATGCTTTTTATTCTTTAATTGTATCTACATGCTGCCTTCTTATTTGTTATGAATGTCATTGCTGTTTAGTGCTTCCTAGAAAGTATTCTAAGGCTGACATGAAGACGGATTTTAAAATATTCAGTCCGTGTCCATGATTTTTGTATAGTGCTATACAAAAGAGGGCTCTACTGCCCTCTTTTGGGTATTTTATAGAATAATACCTTTTAGTTTTTCAGTACTTCAGTGCAGGTGTAGTACTTTGCTCCAGGACATCATAGTTAAAGGTCACTTATTTTTAAGTACAGCTTTACACAACAGAGGCAGGAAACTGAGAGAAACGTAAAAAAAGCACCTGAGCAACCAAAACAAAGTCCTTTTATGTCACTCATAAGAGATCCTATTTGTAGCTTTTTTAATGAATATTTAAAAAATTTTTAAAAGGTCAAATTAAGCCTTGCAGATGATAACAGATCCAGGTGTACAGAGGGTTCATAATGAAAAGTACTCTCCAGAGAATCTCTTTTAAGTATTTCTATTTTAGTTTCTCTGATAGTTATTTCTTTAACCTTCTTGTGCTACACTTCTAGATGTATCAATTTTAAATAAAATTTATTGATTCCTTATATTAGTCAGTTAACACAAACATTCCTCAAATCTCAGTTAATATGGTTGCCCACATCATAGCTGGTATGGGTTAGATGGGCTCCCTTAAAACTGCGCCACCTGAATTTTCTTTATTCTGCTTTCACATTTAATTGATTCGTATTTGGCTGAGTATAGAGATTAGGTCAAACATTTTTTCCTTACATCTTTGAAGGCATAACTTCATAACTTCATTGTCTTTTAGCAGGCAGCATTACTGATGAGAAAGCCAGTACCTTCATCCTTCATTCCTTTGTAGATGACTTTTTTTTTTTTTTTTTTTTTTTGGTCTCTGGAAGCTTTTAGAATCAACTCTTTGTCCCTGATGTTTGGAACGTTTTGAGATGGTGTCTGGGTTGGAGCTTTTTTTTAGCTCTTATGCTAGACTTTTGGGGCTCTTTAGTTTTGAAGATTTGTTTGCATTAATTCTGCTAATATTTCTGGGTAAAATTTTTTTCCCTTCCATTTTTTTGTGGTTCTAACTCCTGTTAGCTGGATGTTGGAGCTTTTGGATGGTCTCCTATGTCTCCAACTTTTTCTTTCATACTTTTTTGGTAACTTTTCCTTTTCATTCTGGGTTCTTGGATTGTAATTCCAAATCTTTTTTTTTAAACCTATTTTATTGATTATGCTATTACAGTTGTCCCATTTCTTTTTCTCCCCTTCATTCCCCTTTACCCTGCACCCGCCTCCCACCAGCATTCCCCTTGCCCTGCCCTTAGTTCATGTCCGTGGGTAGTACATATAAGTTCTTTGGCTTCTACATTTCCTATGCTATTTTTAACCTCCCCCTGTCTATTTTGTACTTGCTATTTATACTTCTTATCCCTGTACCTTTTCCCCCATTCTCTTCTCTCCTCCTCCCCTCTCATCTCCATTTCTGTGATTCTGTTCCTGGTCTAGTTGTCTGCTTAGTTTGTTTTAGTTTTTGTTTTTAGTTTCAGTTGTTGATACTGGTGAGTTTGTTGTCATTTTACTGTCCATAGTTTCGATCTTCTTCATTTTCTTAGATAAGACCCTGTGACATTTCGTATAATAAGGACTTGGTGATGATGAACTCCTTTAGCTTGACCTTATCCAAGAAGCACTTTCTCCTCCCTTCCATTCTAAATGATAGTTTCGCTGGATAGAGTAATCTTGGTTGTAGGTCCTTGCCTTTCATGACTTTGAATACTTCTTTCCAACCCCTTCTTGCCTGCAAGGTTTCTTTTGAGAAATCAGCTGATGCTCTTATGGGAACTCCTTTGTAGGTAACTATCTCCTTCTCTCTTGCTGCTTTTAAGATTCTCTCCTTCTCTTTAATCTTGGGTAATGTAATTATGATGTGCCTTGGTGTGTGCTTCCTTGGGTCCAGTTTCTTTCGGACTCTCTGAGCTTCCTGGATCTCCTGGAAGTCTGTTTCCTTGGCCAGATTGGGGAAGTTCTCCTTCATTATTTTTTCCAATAAGTTTTCAATTTCTTGCTCTTCCTTTTCTCCTTCTGGCACCCCTATGATTTGGATGTTGGGGTGTTTAAAGTTGTCCCGGAGGTTCCTAAGCCTCTCTTCATATTTTTGAATTCTTGTTTCTTCATTCTGTTCTGGTTGAATGTTTCTCTCTTCCTTCTGCTCCCAATTGTTGGTTTGAGTCCTGGTTTCCTTCCCTTTGCTGTTGGTTCTCTGTATATTTTTCTTTATTTCACTTTGCATAGCCTTCACTTTTTCCTCCATTTTGCAACCAAAGTCAACCATCTCTGTGAGCATCCTGATTACCAGTGTTTTGAACTGTGCATCTGATAAGATTGTCTGTTCATTGCTTAGGTCTATTTTTGGCGCTTTGATTTGTTCTTTCATTTGGGCCAAATTTCTTTATCTCAGGTGTGCCTGTTACATGGAAAGGGGTGGAACCTTAGGTATTCACCAGGGCGGGGCAATGCAGATTGCTGCCTTGTGATGCAGTATGTGGGGGAGGGGTCTGAGAGGCAAAAATGCCACTTGCTGGGCTCTCCACCGGCTTTTAGTCACTTCCCCTACCGTCCACAAACAAGTTGGGCCATTCTAGTGCTGATTCCCAGGTGGGTCGGTTTGTGTACATTCCAGGACCTGTGGGTCTCTCCAGTGGACTCTCCTGTGAGGCTGGGAGTTTCTTCCATTGCTGTAACCCCCACAGATTTTTACAGTCAGAAGCTTTTGAGGCTTTCTTTTCCTTCGTCAGAACCCTGGATTGTGCAGTCTGTCTCACTCCCTAGCTGTTCTTCCCTGTTTATCCGCACGCGAATGTGGTACTGCCTGGCCAGCCTCTGTGTTGCCATGCATCCTCTCTGCCCCGGCTGCTTGTCTCCGCCCCTCCTATCAGTCTGGATGAATGTTTCTTCTTTAACTCCTTGGTTGTTGGACTTCCATACAGTTTGATTTTCTGGCAGTTCTGGTTATTTTTTGTTTTTAAATTTGTTGTTCTTCTTTTGGTTGTGTAAGGAAGTAGAATGTATCTACCTACACCTCCATATTGGCTGGAAGTCTCCAAATCTTTTTTGAATGTTTTATGTCAACTACTATTTTTTAATTACAAAAATGTCATTTTGCTAATTTTTATAACATTGTTTTCATTATTTAGCTATGTATTTAAATGAATTCCATTTCTGTTTCCTTAGTTACCAGCTTTCTCAGTTTTTCTACTGCTGGTATTTCTCTTTCTTGTTGTTTGTTCTCATAATGTTTTTGGTGATCCATGGTTTTCTCTTCACATTTAGGACAAAATGATGGGGTAGCTGGTGCAGATTTTCTCTGTTACTCTGTGAACAGTTTTGTTTTTTATAATTGTAAATTCTCACTGGATGATCTGTGTGGGGTAGGTCAGGGCATGCCATGTGACCTATTGGTCCCACATGTGTACCTCTCAGAGATACTTGACCTACACTGAAATTTTTTTGACTGTGACCTCCGAAGGGTTAAAACACCCAGAGACTAATAATCCTGCCACCCTCTGCTAGGCCACACCAGTTTAAGGAAGTACCCGGAATCCCCTCTCCCATTCCTAAAAGTACCATTCTCTGTGAAACACAGATGTCTGCAGCATGATCATTCAGGCTGCTTAGCTGGTTCTTGGTCACAGTTCAGCTTCAGGAGTCTCTCATGAGTGTGTGTGCTTGCCGGAGTCCCACACAGCATAGCCAGTGCTGTCTTCATTTTCTGTGTGGGAGGGGCACTGGGGTCCACTGGTCTCAGGAACTTGGACCTGCTGGGGCTAACTGGGCTAACCAGGGGCGGAGGAAAGCGGCATTTCCTGGGGTGCCGAATTTTAAAGACTCAGCCCAGAAATCAATGCCAGATGGAGCGCCTGGCTTTTTCATCAATGTGTGTTGTGTCCACCATTTTTATCAGCTCCCTATTTCTTTGACCCTTTTCCGACCACCATTTTGCAGAAGGGAGCAGAAGTTTCCCAGCTGTCTGTCATCTTGCCCCTGTTTGCTTTCTGTCTTGCAGAAATGTGTTAACATTTCTCGTATTTCCCATTCTCTTCTCCAGTATTTTTTTGTATGCCTCTGTTTTTCTAGTGGGGCAAAGCAGCTGGAATGTCTAAAAGCCAATTTAGATTTAGTTCCATATATACCTTGAGAAAAACATGGTTGAATGACTGATCTCTATAAAGATGCTTGAGAAAATGGTAAAAGTGCGAATAGTATTTGTGCGTATGTGTTTTTTAAGATTTTATTTATTTTATGGAGAGGGGAAGGGAAGGAGAGAGAGGGGGAGAAACAGATGTGAGAGAGAAACATCGAACAGTTGTACATGCCTTGACCAGGGACCGAACCCACAACTTAGGCATATGTTCTCACTGTTAATTGAACTGGCACCTGTCGCTTTGTGGGATGATGCCCAATGAACTGAACCACACAGGTCTGGGCAGTATTTGTGTTTCTGATGACAAATGTCAGTCACTGGAAAAATATTTTGTGAGAAATGTCTCATTCCCTTGCCAACAGGAGTAAATGAAGACAATATTTCGCCTATTTAGCTTATTGAAGATTGTCATTTTTTTTCCCTTATTAGAAATTTGCAACAGTTCTTGCTGAAGCTGTTACTTCCCTAGATCTGCCTGTGGCAATTATTAACCTGAAAGACTATGATCCAGATGATAATCTAATAGAAGAGGTTGGTAATTTTATTTTTTTAAATTAAAACTCAAATTTAATTGACCTCCTATGTTCTGGAATAAATAGAATCTTCAGAATAAATTTAGTTTTCATGCTGAGAGATTTCACTTGGTTCAGTTTTCAGTGTCAGTCAGAGGTGTCAAATGTGTGGTGTGACACACTGATTCCAAGTGGTGTGGAGCCTGTCCCTTTGGTGTGTTAGACTCCGGGGGTGGGCGTAAAGGTGGGAATGCTGAGTGGTTTGAAGTTCCCAACACCCTCCTGCTTCAAATCTCGTAATCAAAGGAGGATTGTTATTGATGGCAGGGTGCCATGCATATGAACCATGTGTAAGCCTACTGAAGGGTCAGGAGCCACTTGGGTGGCAGAAGTAGTATGGGGTTTGAAGTTAGAGAAATCTCTTAACTAGTCGTGTGACCTTCCTACATTACTAAATGTCTATGAGAGTTTAATTTTAATTTTGTGACCTGAGAATTGCCCCTCCATTTCCTTTAGTTCTACCCATTTAGGGAAATTTGCTTTATAGTAGTTGTTTTCAAAGTGCATCCCTTGAACCAGTAATATCAGCATCTCTTGGGGACTTGTTAGAAATGCAGTTTCTTAGGTCCTAGCCCAGACTTGCTGACCCAAAGTCTGTATGTGTTTTAGCAAGTGCCCCAGGTGATTCTGAAGCAGCTAGAGTTGGAGAAGTGCAGGTGGACAAACTTTTTCTGTAAAGAGTGAGATAATAAATATATTCAGCTTTGTGGACCATGTGGCTCAATTCTGCCTTTGAGGCACAAAACATCCATACACAGTATGTAGACAAGTGAGTGTGGCTGTGTTCCAATAAAACTTTATTGACAAAAACATGTAGGGAGCTGGATTGGGCCTGTAGGTTGTAGTTTGACAGCTCCTTCTTTGTGTATAAACTTCTAACTAATTGTCCATCTTTTTCTCCCCCAAGAAAACACTGAAGTGCAAATGAGTGAGCTTGAATGTGTTATAAATTATTTGTGAAAAATTATTAGTGAATTTTGCTACTTAACAATTAATAAGGGGTTACTCATAATTTACCTCATAACTTGGAACTGTTAAAAGATACATTCAAGCACATGAAATACTGTAACAGACTGAAGGTGTATTTTGTTTTCCCACGTAGATGATGGTGCTGTGTTGTAACTTTATGTTTTAAAGTTTTATTGCTTTCATTTCAGGTAATTTTTTAGAGATCTTTCTGTATTTTTCTTTCTGACTAACTTGCATTTTGTTTCCAATATGATAAATTGGAGATGATAGTAGATGGTGAAGGGCACTAGGAAGTATATTGGAAAGGCACTGGATTTTCTCCTCTGCGAGGGGTCCTTGCAGTGTTTTCTCTCACCTTTGAAAAAGATGTTTATAAAAGCACCCTTTGTCCTTAGAAATTAGTATAATAGGAATGTCAGCATTAAAAAAAGTTTTCTTCTTGAATATTCTTCTGAAATAATTACTTTCTTGGTTAGGTTACTAGTAAAAATGTTTGTGCCTTCCTGGTTGCTACATACACTGATGGTCGACCAACCGAGAGTGCCGAGTGGTTCTGCAAATGGTTAGAGGAAGCATCCAGTGATTTTCGATTTGGCAAAACTTACCTGAAGGGTATGAAATATGCGGTGTTTGGCCTTGGAAATTCTGTCTATGTGGGCCACTTCAACAAGGTAAGTACAAGGTAGATGTATGTTGAATTATAGGGATAAATTACCTTAATAAAAACATTAAAACATACATACATAGACATATGTATGTCTATGTGAGATAATCCATAACCTTTGGTACTTAATAAAAAACTTACTGTGTTATTCTTTATAGCTGGGAATTGCTACACATATATATCCAATCTTGGTATATAGTAAGCGCTCAGTAAATTTTTATTGAATAAAATAAATGAATATGCCTCCTGTTGTCTAGTGCATCCTGTTAAGGGCCTGGATTCATAGGCTTTGAGTTCAGCCTTCTGTCCCCAGGCAGGACCTTGTGGATAGAAAGTTGCTCATTCTTTGGACTTTCTCAACTGCCTGTTCTGTTGTTGAATAATCTTTGTTGCCCAAGCTACTCTTAATGCAGTTGAACCCATTGTCTTTTAATCATTAATTTTAAAGGGCAATAGAAGAAAAACATTCACTGCCCTTTATGGAATAAAACATTTATTGTTTTCCTGGATTTTTTTTCTAAATGAAATTATTCTGGCTACTTTTCTTTTGCATTCTATTCTCTATACTTTAAAAAAATAAAATTTGGAGACTTCTCAGTTCCTTAGTGGTTCTAATAAGTTACTAAAACTTGTATATGTAACTTTCCCCAGATATGGGCCCAGCCTGGCTCACCAGTCTTTGGTAGAATGTGAGTAAAGGTGAAAGTGAAGATCTTTCTTTAAACTTGCTTTCATTCAGTTGTTACATCAAGATGTATGTTTCCCCCCATATTTTCAAAGGAATTAGACAAAGACTGGTAAAATTCCAATATGTAAATACTTTGTTTACTGCCTTGCCACTCAGGAAGTCTGTTAAGCTTTTTAACTCTTAACTGCCCTTCTTGATAACCCCTGTTCCTCAGCTTCATTACTTCATATTGCAATAAAATAAATTTTTGAGTTTATGAAATTATGAGCCTTGCCAAACAGACTCCCCGGCTTCACTCAGTTGGTAAACGGGCTTTGGCCCCAGAGGCTTTGTTACGTTTTGTTTTCCTAATGAGTCATTTCATTCTGATGTTATTTAGAATAGTGATTTTCAAAATCTTTTTAAGGCATTTAATCATTAGTTTAATAAGAAGGTTTGCTTATCTCCTTGTTAAAAAACCTATTGCAGAATCTTAATCTATCAACTGCAACCCTTCTGTATTGTGGCTCGAGGACCGGAGGCCTTTAGGCTAAGCAGTCCCCTCTCCCCAGCAGCAGCTGCCGCAGGGGTCCCAGGGGTACTTCAGGCTTGTGCAGAGCAGCCTACAAACCTCTGATTCAGATTGCATTTTTAGCTCATGTATCTCTTTCTTGCAGGTTGGCAAGAATGTTGATAAGTGGCTCTGGATGCTTGGTGCCCATCGTGTGATGACCCGTGGGGAGGGTGACTGCAACGTGATTAAAAGCAAACATGGCAGCATCGAAGCTGACTTCAGAGCTTGGAAGACCAAGTTTGTCTCCCAGCTTCAGGTGCTTCTTAAAGGAGAGAAGAAATCCTGTGATGGCAATTGCAAGAAAGGCAAATGTGAATCTAATCCGCATGGCTCAAAGAACATAAAGCCAGGGCCTCATACTCAGGATGGGTTGCATCAGAGGGACACTGAGGTGTGTAGCCTGTGTGCCCATGTCTTTCCTCTTGTGTCTGGAGGTACTGAATCTTACCTCTGTCCTGAGAAACTATTTCGTTGGCTTCTAGTTAGAAGGAAGATCAAACTCATAGAGGGAGGTGTTTTAGAGAGGGCAGTCTTAGGAGTTAAGCCATTCTGTGCTGGATGCTTTCCTGTGTCTCTTCTGTAATTGTTGCATTGCTGGAGTCAAATAGATTTCTACCACAATTTTCAGGTTAGGAAACAGAGGCCGGAGATGTTAAATATGTCTCGGGCTGAGCTCATAATCTTTTATTTTATTTTTTTGGTTTCACCAAACCACATAGTCCTCCTTGTTTCTCATTTAATGACTATTAACCACTCTAAGTCAAAGGCTGCAAGTCATACTAGATTCATTTCTTTCATCCCACACAATATAAACATTTCTTTTTCTTCTTCCTTTAGATACCCCAGAGCTCCTTTGAAGCTCTTGTCAGCAGGTTGTATCACAGCTGTGTACTTTGGCCACCTGGTCACTTGTGTCATTCATGAACAACTTACCATTTTGACTTCCACCCTTATTCCTGTCATTATTCTTTGTGGTTAAGTCATCCATGTTGATGATTTATTGAACACCCTAGCCTGCCAGTTTCCTGGCCTTTAAACCTCCAGTGACCATTTTATTCTTTGACCATGGCCTCTCACTTCCATGGTCACCTCTGAAATTTCATGTTCTTGTGACCCAAAGTCTGATCTCTTTCTGGTGCTCCTACTTTAAAATTCTTTTGATCCCATACCTTTCTCATTGGATAGTGAAAACTGCTTATTTCACTTCTGTCCTTACCTGGTTTAGATTTTATACTCATTCTTTTATAAACGCCTTAAATTGCTTTGCTTTCCACTCCATTTTACAACCCAATTCGCTGAACTCCAGGCCAGGTTGAAACCTGGTCTGTCTTCTCTGTTGCTGGCTGCTTGCTGTTTGGCCACAGATTCATGACCACAGATTCAAGTATGAATGGATGACTTCCCTACAGTCTTTGACATACTTTTGTAAGTTCCCTTTCTCACTCTCTAAGATGACTGTTTAATACTCTTTCTCTCTACCCCTTTTTCCAGCTCTCCTATGAAGCCATCGAGAAGAATTCTCTTATAGCTTCTGCCCCATCTATAGATCTTCACATCTTTTCTGCTCGAGAAGACAAGTATCTGGTTCTGTCAAAAACTACTTTCTGTGTGTGCCCTGGAATCAAGGACTTTGGTCCCTTTGTTTATTGCATCCCTCACTCCTGCCTTGTTAATCTTTTCCTCTCTATTAGATAGTTCCCAGAAGTATATAAACATACTCTGGAACCACCTGTGTTTAAACAACACAAACAGCAAGAAAAACCAAATCTTTGTTCTGTCCTTCAGCTGCTGTTTCATTTTTTGTAATTTTTCTAGCCAGTCTTTTTGCTTATATTTGCTTATTTTCTCTCCAACTTCCTTTTAATATTTAAAAAAGCTTTTAAAAATACTGCAGTAAAATTCATATAACAAAATTAACATTTTAGAGTATATAGTCCAGTGGTACTTCAAATGTTCACAGTTTTGTGCAACCATTACCTATGTCGTGTTCCAGTATACCTTTTCATCGTCTCAGAAGAAAACCATGAAGCAGTCACTCTTCCCCACTTCCCCCAGCCCTGACAACGTACAGTTTGCTTTCTCTCTCCATGGACTTAACTTATACTGTATATTTCATACAAATGGAATTGCATAATATGTGATCATTTTTTTGTCTGGCTTCTTTTATCATGTTTTGGAGAAGTCATCTGTGTTGTACATGTATCAGTACTTTATTCCTTTTTATGGCTGAAGAATACTCCATGGTATGGCTATATCACATTTTGTTGATCCATATATATGTTGATGGACATTTTAGTTATTTCTGCCTTTCAGCTATTGTGTATAGTGCTGCTGTGACATTAATACAAGTATTTGTTTGGGTAACTTTTCAGTTTTTTTGTGTATATATCTAGGAGTGCAATTGTTGGGCTGTGTGGTAACTCTGTATTTACATTTTTGAGGAACCACCAGTTTTCCACAGCGGCTGCACCATTTTACATTCCCAGGAGCAATGTACCAGGCTTTAAATTTCACCACTTCTTTGCCAACACTTCTTATTTTCTATTTTTTTGATTATAGCCATCCTAGTGAGTGTGAAGTAGTATCTCCTTGTATTTTTTGTTTGCATTTAACTCTACTGGCTACTGATGTTGAACATCTATCTCTTTGTATGATTTTTGCCGGTTGTATATCTTCTTTGCGGAAATGTCCAAGTTCTTTGCCATTTTTAATTGTTATTTGTTTTTTTGGTTGTTAACTGGTAAGAGATGTTTATTACACTTTAGATAGTAGACCTTTATCAGATATATAATTTGCAAATATTTTCCCCAATATAGGTTTTCTTTTCACTTTTGTATCATGTCCTTTGATGCACTAAAGTTTTAAATTTCTATGAAGTCCAATTTATCTGCCTTTTCTTTTGTTGCTTTTGTTGTTGGGGTAATGAAGGTAAATTCATTGCTATATCCAAGGTGATGAAGATTTAATTTCGTGTTTTCTTCTAAGAATTTTATAGATTTAGTTCTTGTATTTAGGTCTTCTATCCATTGTAAGTTAATTTTTGTGTGTGGTGTGAGGTAATGGTCCAATTTTACTCTTTGAACAGTGTATACCCAGTTGTCCCAGGACCATTTGTCAAAGATACTGTTCTGTTCTTATTGAATGGACTCAGAACCATTGTCAAAAGTCCATTTTCCATAGAAGTTTGGATTTTCTGGACTCTAAATTCTATTTCAATGATCTATCAGTCTATCCTTGTACCAGTACCACACTGTAGATTTGTAGTTAAGTTTTGAATTCAGGAGTTCTCCAACATTGTTCTTTTCCAGTATTGTTTTGGCTGTTTGGAGTCTCTTGCAATTCCATATGGCTTTGAGGAGTGGTTTTTCCATTTCTGCAAAACACATTGTTGGGGTTTTGATAGGGCTTGTAGGAGTCTATAAACCACTTTGGATAGTATTGTCATCTTAGCAATATAAAGTCTTCCAGTCCATGAACATTGGATGTCTTTCCTTTTATTTAGGTGTTCTTTAATTTCAGCAATATTTTGAGTTTTCATTGTTCAAGTATTTCACCTCTTTGGTTAAGTTTGTTCTTGGATATTTTATTTTCATGCTATTGGATTCTAAAGTGGTCAGGGAATGTACTTTGGATGATTTTTCTTTTAAAATTTGTTGAGACTTTCTTGGTGCCTAACATAAAACCTGTCCTGGAGAATATTCCATGTGTACTTGAGAAGAATGTATAATCTGTTTTTGGGTGCAAGGTTCCAAATCAGTCAGTTAGATTTAATGGGGTTATACTGTTGTCACAGTCCTGAGTTTCCTTATTGACCTATCCAATTGTCCTGTTTATTGAAGGTGGGATATTGAAGTTTCCAGCTATTAATGTAGAACTGTCTTTTTCTTCTTTAAGTTCTATCATTTTTTGCTTCATAGGTTCTTGGCTCTGTTAGGTACATACCTGTTTATAATTGTTAAATCTTCTTGATGTGTTAATGTCCTTTGTCTCTTGTAACAAGTTTGACTTGAAGTCTATTTTGTCTCATATTAGTTAAGTTATGCCCGCTCTCTTTTGGTTATCATTTACATGAAATAGCTTTTTCTATTGAGTCTCTCATAGATAGCATAGAGTTGGTTCCTGTTTTTTCTTTTTTAAATTCGTTTTACCTATCTCTGCGTTTTTATTGGAGAGATTAATCCATTTTCATTTTAAATTACTGATAATGATGTACTTTTGTTATTTTATTATGCTTTCTATGTATCTTACATCTTTTCCTTAATTTCTTCATTACTGCCAGTTTTTGTGTTTTATTGATTTTTTTTTCCTGGTATACCATTTTGATTCCTTTTTTATTTCTGTTTCTGTACATTTTAAAATTCTTTTCTGGTATACTCATTTCTTCATATCTGCAGGGGATTTGTTCCAGGACCTTCTGCAAATACTAAAATCTGTGGATGCTCAAGTCTCATATAAAATTGTGTAGTATTTGCATATAACCTATGCACACCCTCCTGTATACTTTAAGTCATCCCTAGATTACTTATAATACCTAATAAATGTAAATTATATGTAAATAGTTTACTTATTGTTTAGGGAATAGTGACAAGAAAAAAAGTCTGTACATATTCATTATAGATGAACCATTGTAGGCCTAAGTACATGTCGGCAACAATGTAACAATTTTTTCAAGTATTTTTTTTGATCCATGGATTTGGAACCTCTAAATACAGAGGAGTGTTGCTATGCTAGGGATTGCCTTTAACCTCTTTGACTCATAGCACTCTATTTGAATTAATACCAGCTTAGTATACAAAACCTGTTCCTATTCAGCTCTGACTCATTCCCTTTATGTTGTTACCAATTACAGCTTTATACATTGTATGGTCATTAACATAGATTTGTAGTTAATTGTTTTATATACTTGTCTTTTAAGTCATATAGGTACAAAAAGAGGAGTTACAAACCAAAAATGCAATAATAATGGTTTTTGTACTTACCTATGCAACTACCTTTTTCACTGTTCTTTCTTCATATAGCTTTGAGTCATTATCAAATGTTCTTTTAATTTCTTGCATGCAGGTCTTCTATAAATGAACTCCTTCAGTTTTTGTTTATCTGAGAATATCTTCCTTTCTCTTTCAATTTTGAAGGATGGATTTGCTGGATATAGAATCCTTGGTTTACAGGGGTTTTTTTTTTTTTCTTTCAGTGGTTTAAATATGCCATCCCACTGTCTTATGGCCACTAAGGTTCCTGATGAGAAATTGGCTATTAACCTTATCTTTTTTGAGGACCGCCCCCTTGTATGTCAGTAGTTGCTTCTCTTTTACTGCTTTCAAGACTCTCTTTTTGTTTATTGTCTTGACAGTTTGGTTATAATATGTCCCAGTTTGGTTCTCTGAGTTTATCTTGCTTCAAGCTTCTTGAAGTTCTTGAATCAATTGATTCATATATTTTTATCAAATTTGGGAAGTGGTTAGCCATTATTTCTTCAAAAATTATTTCTGCTCTTTCTCTTCTCTCCTTCTAAGACTCTCCTTTTGTATTTGTTGGTGTGTTTTATGGTGTCCTAATAATCCTTTAGGCTCTGTTTTTCAGACTGGCTGATTTCAACTGATCAGTCTTCATTTTTGCTAATTCTTTTGCCTGCTGCAATCTGCTATTAAATCCTCTAGTGAAAATTTCAGTTCAGTTATTACTTTTCAGCTCAAGAACTGTGTTTCCTTTTTACAGTTTTTATCTCTGCGTTGATATCCCCTATTTGTTGAGACATTGTTGTCCTGGTTACCTCCAGTTCTTTGTCCGTGGTTTTAACTCTTTGAGCATATCTAAGACAGTCTACTTAAAGTCTTTATCTAGTAAGTCCAATGTGTGTATTTCCTCAGTGACACTTTCTGTTAATTTCTCCTGTGAATAGGCCACATGTTTTTGTTTTTTTGCATGCTTCATAATGTTTTCTTTCCTGAAAATTACACATTTATAATCTTTTAATGTATTAACTCTGAAAATCAGATTCTTTCCCCTCCTCAGAGTTTATTTTTATAGTTTGCTATGAGTTATAATTTTTGTTTAGTGACTTTTTAAAACTATTTTTGTAGACTGTATCTGTTGTCATGTGTGTTTCTAAAGTCTGTTTCTTTAGCTTGTGTTCATTTAGCTAGTGTTTTGATATGCCTTTTAAAAGTTTTCTTAAATGCTCTTTTAAAAAAGTTTTTCTTTTTCTTAAATCAGTGTTTACTTGGTTGTTGTAAACCTATGACTAATTCCAAGAATTCTGACAAAGTGGAATTAGTTGTTTTTTTTGCTTAATTTTTAGGTGTTTCTTTGGGGGAATAGGCCCTTGGATTTACCTACACAGCCGTTTTTGCTGATATCACCATTCTTAACATTTAAAAAAATTAAAACAGACTTTTAGAGTTAAAAGTAAACCTGTATGTTTAAAACCTCAAATAGTACTTCTAGGCTTATAATTAAAAATTGTACTTCCTTGCCTTATTCTAATTCTTACTTAACCACTTTTAATTCTTTTAGCTTTTTCATAAGACATTTACCTCTATATTTCTAAATAATTGGTTGTTCCTGCTATTTCTTGATTTTTTTAAATTTGAAAATCACACACACACACACACACACACACACACACACACACACAGTATCAGTTCCCTTTCTCTCATTTTCTTGTATAGTTGTATCACATTTCTGGTTACACCATTCTTCATTATTTCATTATTGTGATTGTGTGTATATTCACACCTATCACATATATTTTCATTCTTATGCATTTATTTCCCTTATTGCTATATCTGCTTTGATTTTTCTATAAGCATCACCACTTCATTATAAAAATTTTAACAGAACCAAAAATTGTTTTTAATATTGTGTGGTTTTTATTGATTTCTTGGAGGCTCTCCTGAGTCTTCTGCTCCACATTGGTATGGCTGCTTTAAGCCTTAGTGCAGCTGAAGTCTATGTGTTCTATCCACTGTGAGACACAGCTTTACTTTTACTAGCTTCCTGGGTTGGATTTTGGAATCTGGGTAACTATATCTTCTTATTTCTTGGTTGACGCTTGTTTTCTAGAGCACATTCTCTGGTAGCTCTCTCAGAAAGTTTGTTTTGGATATGAATTTTCAGATTTGTTACATCTGCATGTCTTTATCCCACCTTTACAGTTGCTTGATGCGCCAGCTGAATATAGAATTCTAGGTGGGAGTAACTTTCTTTCAGAAATCAAAGGCATTGATCCATCGGCTTTTAGTTAAATGTTGCTTTTGAGAACCTCAGTTTACTTTGGGTCTGAATTTTTATTACATAATTCTCCACTCCTCCCATATACCTTCAAACTTCCAAATATAGTCCCTTTAGCCATCTATATTTTGCTCAGCTTTGCCCTGCCCTCCAATTTTATGCTTATCTTCCTTGCTTTCATCTCTTGAGCGGGATATTTGTTTGCAGTTTATCTTCACACCAAAGACGCAGCTTTGTGGGGTCCCAGCTTTGACTCTTGTCTTGTATGTTAGTCTCTCTTCCTTCTATCATCTCCTTGACTTTAACTGCTTTTCTCTTGTCCTGTACAGCTGTCAAAATAGGTTCTCCAGAGTTCAGCAGGTACTCTTAGCTCCATTTTTCACTTACCTCTTAAGAGTCTCTTCTTAGTTTATACCTGCTGTCTTTTGAGTCCTTATATTTTTGCCAAACCAGTGAACATTTAAGATTATGCATTAAAAATAATACTCAGTTTTGGTTATTTTCTACAAGAGAGCTGTTAATGTAATTCATTCTACAGCTGGGAGCAGAAGTCCCAGTTAACCCTCACCCACTCCAGTTTGGCTCTCTACTCCACTGATGCTACTCTTTTCTAGGTCCAAGGGACTTCATATTATCAAGCCTCATGGGTATTTCTCTGTCTTCATATTACTTGACCTCCAAACAGTGTTGGACTTTGCTGTCTTCTTTGAATCACTCCCTTTTCTTGACTTTCATGACATCATTCTTATGGTTTTCTTTCTTTTTTTACTTGGAATCTTCTTCCTTTATCTAACCTCTGCGTGTTGGAATTGTTAAAGGTTTGGTCCTGGGTTCTGTTCTTTGTTGATGCTTTCTTCCTGGATGATCTTGCATAGTTTTACGGCTTTACATATTCTCTAGATGCCAGTTATTCCTAGGTTTTTATTTTTAGCTGTAAGGTCTACACTAAATTATGTTCTCAGGTACAGGGTCTGGCACAAATAACACCCCTTTTTTTTTACAAAATCTTAATGATGTAATTCTGTGACATAACCATATCACACTCAAGCAGAACATATGATATTTTAGGTGAAGTTTTTGAAATAAAACGATAAATTGTTACACCCATATTATTACCCAACCAACCATACTCCAGCAGGTGTTACTTCTGCCAGACCCTGTATATAATTGCCTCTTTAAAGACTGCGTAGATGTTGAAGTCATCTCATATTTCACAGATGCAAAATGGAACTCTTCATTTCCACTCTCCCAGTCTGTTTCTCCCCAGGTCTTTCTCATCTTAGTAAACACCACCACCAAGAAATCTGAGTCATGCTTGATTTCTTCCTTTTCCTCATTCCTGCATTAATTCTTCACTAAGTCTGGTTGGTTCTTTGTCTAAAAGAGTGGTTGGGAAACTATTTCTCTAAAGGCCCAGCTTGTAAATATTTTCAGTTTTGTGGGGCATGTGGTTTCTGTTGCAACTATCAGTTTTGCCATTGTATCAAGAAAGTGGCCATAGATAATATGTAAATGATGGGCACTTTCCAATTAGACCCAAGGCTGGCCGGATTTGGCCTATGGGTTGTGGTTTGCTTACCTCTAGCCAAAAATATTTGATATCCATTCAGTGACCTCAGAACTTGGGAGGGGGTATTAGATGGTTTCCTACTTTGAACAATGTATTTCTAAAGCATTGATGTTCTAGGAGGAGGAGCCCTTTGAAAGTTCCAGTGAGGAAGAGTCTGGTACTGAGGACCACCAGAGTCTAACTTCTGTTGTTGATGTTGAGGACCTTGGCAAAATTATGAATCATGTGAAGAAAGAAAAGGTACTGTGATTTTGGGAAATAATGAACTTGGATCTGCAGTGGGTTAACATCTAGCATTCTGCATTGGTGTGTAGTTCATCCGAGCTCATAATTAGACAGTTTTATTTATTTGCTTCCTTGAGAACTTTATACTTTTTTTTTTATTTTTATGAGTGTTGTGAAAGTGTTCTCTCTTGGCCCTGTGAAAATGAGCTCATAGTAGGACAGACAAAATATTTTAGGACAAGAACTGAGGAAAGGCTAGATGGTAAGAGGGACTTAATTCATTGTGTAGTTGAAGATGACAGGATGGCAGCATGATAAGATTGATTAGTGTTAAGATTTCAACTGGAACTCTTGTGTAAAGTTGCTTCCCTGTCTTTCCAGCCTGAGTGGTGTTGAGCTTAGGGATGATGGCAGCTTGGTCTATAGGTGTTGAGATCAGTGTGCGTAGAGACCCTAAGAATCTAGGAGATATTAGTCTGAGTCTTGATGATCTCAGTGACTAAATGAATATGAGAATGTACAGTGAAGTAGGATTTTTGTGCAGATTCCAGTGATCTAAAATCGAAATAACATGTAGAATTACATAAAAAGGTAATGTCTCAATTTATGTGTCAGTTTTGGAAAATGAGAATATTCTAAACTACAGATGTATCAAGTGCATAAGTCTTAGAAACAGAATAAATGCAACTATTGGGAAGTCCAAGAAAATCAAGCATAAAATTAACACAAGCTGAAATGCAAAGATTTAGTAAGGCAGCAGGGTATAATAGGGTATAATAAGGTAACAAGTCAAAAAGCTTTTGTATTTCCAAACAATAACCAGTTAGAAACTGTCATGGACGAAAAAGATCTCATTTACAATAGTCACATAAAAAATAAATAACTATAGAAACGCATTTAAAAAGAAATATCCTAAATCTGTGTGAAGAAAATTTTTAAAACATTTTTGAAAGATATAACAGTGCCTTGAACAAATGGAAAGACATCCTTGTTTTTAGATATGGGGACTCAGTATTGCAAACATGTCAGTGTTTTTCAGTTAAAATGTAAAGTTAATGCAATCCATTAAAAATTCCAATGAAGTTTTTTTCTGGTGCTAGACTGGTTGATTCATGTGGAAAAATAAGCATACGAGGATAACTAGGAAAACCTTGTTGTAAAAGTAGTAGTGAGAGGACCACCTCTGTCAGATAGTGAATCTTACTACAACGCATCTATAATTAAAACTGGTATTGGCTTCTTATGAGGCAGACCAATGTAACAGAATGAAATTCTAGGAATAGATCCAGCTGTATATGGGAATTTCATATATGATAAAGGTGGCATCTCTTTTTCCTAGTGTGAAAATATACTTTTAAGATAAATGATGTTGACAGCTGGATAGCTAATTGTGAAAAGATAAAATTGGGTCTGTACTTCACACATGCATCAGAATAAAGTCTAATTGGGTCAGAAAGCTAAATGTTGCTAAAATATATAAATAATAGGTTTAGATGAATTATTTTATAACTAAGATTCACTTTCTATATGATTAAAAATCTAGAAGCAATAAAAGGTTGAATTTATCAATGATTTTTATAAAGATTTTCATGGTTATAAGTAAAATCAAAAGACAAGTGATAAAACGAGGGAAAATATTTGCCCCTTACAAAGAAGGGGTTAAATTTTCTACTACACAAAGCACTCTTAAAAATTGAATAATAAAAAAAAAAGACCCAGAACATAATTGAAAAAAATGGCAAAACACATGATTTGATGAGTATCAGAAAAAGCTCTTTTTTTAAAAAATTTTATTTTAATTTATTTTTTCAAATACATTTGTCTCTCCCCCCCCCCCACCGCAGAAAAAGCTCTTAATAGACTAAAATATGAAACAGACTAAACATACAAAAAAGTGCTCAAATGAAAACTGCGGTGACATACATTTCTCACCCATGAAAATAACAAAAATTCAAAAATTAGGCAGCACACGCAATTGATGAGGCTCTGGGGAAATAGGCTCTCACACCTTGCTGAAGGGAGTCCAGAATGGTATAACCCCTATGGAGGACCCTTCAGTAGTCTACCAAATTCACACGCCTTTACCCATGATCCAGCAGGCCCAGTTATATGAATTTACCTTGGAGATAAAACTTTACAAATAGAAAACAACACCTGCACAAGATTATGCCTCACAGCATATATAGCAAACAACGGTCAGATATGGGTTGAAAAAAGCATAATATACCCACAAAATATAATATTGTGCAGCTGTGAAAAATACTAAGGTGTACCCATGTACATCAGTGTGATTTCAAGGTGGTGTTGGATTTGATTTAGAGGCTGATATGAATTTAAGATTTAAAAAAAATATATTGTCATGTTATATTTACACATTCATAACAAGTATATGTGTATATAAATGATATTTTGTAGCTATGTTCATGGAAAGGACCTTTCATGTTCTGACACCAGCTAACAACCAGTTCAATTCCAGTGACTTGCGAGTTCAATTCTAACACTAACTAATGGTAGTTAGAATCAAACTCCAGAGATTTAGGGCATAATTCGGCATAAGAATGCCCACACTTGAGAATGCTGTAAGTCTTGGGGGCTACTTGCACTTCTGATCAACTGGTTGTAAATTTGGGGGTTCTCATGACCCCCTGAGGTTCGATAATTTGCTAGAATCACTCAGAATTCACTGAACGCACTATACTTGTGATCTTTTATTTTAAGGGATACAAATTAGAAACAACCAAATGGGAAAAAACTCGGGCAAGTTCTGGGGAGTGGAGGGGTGGGGAAGAGTTCCAGAATTTCTGCGCCCTCTCCTCGTGAAATCTGGGCCCTCAGACCACATCACTGTGCTCGCCCCTGGGAAGCTCTACTGCATGCATCCAGAATTTTTATTGGGGTTTCATCACTTTGGCATGATTGGACGCATTCCCCAGCCCACCTCCCTTTCCTGGAGGGTCAGTGGGACCAGGGTTGCATTTTGTGGCCCAGCCCCCATCTTAAGCTATCTAGGGGCCCACCCTGAGCCACCTCCTTCGCATAACAAAGACACTTCTATCACTTAGGAAATGCCAGGTTTTTCTGAAGCTCTTTGCGAGGAACTGGTGTCAAGGACCGGATTATTCTTTATTACGCCAGAGACCTAGAAACAAAGCACTCCGATCTTGTTTTCTAAATATCATTCCCCACTGATAGGAACCAGGGATCCTTGGAGAAATGGCTGATTTCAGGTTTTGGGGAAGGGAGAATTATAGATGGGCCTGGAACATTTTGTTGAACAAGTAGGTCCTCAATGACTGATGGAGGTAGGTCAAAAAGCTGTAGGAACTAGCTTGAAGAGCTTCCCACAGGCCAAATTTGGGACAATTTGAGCATTAAAAATGAGTGTAATGATTATATAACGAGCATAATAGACTATTACATCAAGTTAAAAAAAATTATTGTTCTACACAAAGGGAAAGCACAGAAGAAAGACTTTGCAGAAAGTTTCCAGATAATAAATATACAAGGCATGATAGAGTGATAAAATCACCTGTTTGCAATCCCCAGTGTAATAATTGATTTAAACAAGGATTGGGTGAAATGCCTTTGGGGAACAGATACTCACATAGTCTCAAAATACCATCCTTGAAACAAAACCACTGAGACTTGCCAAAAAATAAATAAATTAGTGGGAAAAAATACCCCACAGATTATTTACTAATTACAAAGGGGAAAATATACCTTCATAAGGAGTAATAGGCAACTCCTACCTCTACCAAATAATAAATTCATCATCATCATTTGCATTAAAGCTTGACCTTATGCACCTCCTGATATGTTGTGTAACAAGATGTATACGATATCATCTATTTGGTGTTGTGTCAGAAGCGTTTTAACCTGAATCAAATTATGGGGAAATAATCAGATAAATCCAAAATGTGTGACAGTCCATGAGACAACTGGCCAGGCTCTTGAAAGAGTCAATATCATAAACAATAGCAACAACAATTAAATGTGGTGGTGGGGCTGTTCCAGGATTTCAAAAGGCTAACCATATACATTGTGTAAACTTTGACCTGAATCAAAGAGAAAATGCCATTGTCTGGACATTCTGAGGATATCTGAAATAAATTTTTATTAGATAATACTGGATTTAAAATTTTTTCATTTTAATAATGGTATTGTAGTTCTGTAGGATCAAGTCTTTTTTTTTAGATGAATAATGCAGTGTTTTAAGGATGAAGTGGCATGGTATTTTGCAATATACTTTCAAGTGCTGTAGCAAAATTTTATTCACATACACACGTGTATTATATGTGTAATGTGTAATACACGTGTGTGTATGTGTGTGCATGATGGATGGATAGATAGGTAATGATCAAGCAAAAGTGGTGAATCCAGGTGAAGGGAATATAAGTCTATTGAACATTTCAATTTTTCTTAGGGTTTGAAATAAAAAGTATGAGGGGAACTGCTTTCCCATATGTTCCCAAAACAAAACAAAAAACGAGTACCAACTGAATTATATAAACTTTTAGAGATATTGTCATTTGAGAATAACTTCCAGTTTTTGATAGGAGTAGTTGGTGAATAACTAGTTTTGCATTATGTAGGGGTTTTTTTTTTTTAAAGATTCATTCATTTATTTTTAGAGAGAGGAGAAGGGATGGAGAGAGGGAAGAAACATTGATCAGTTGCCTCTCACACGCCCCCAAGTGAGGACCTGGCCCGCCACCCAGGCATGTGCCCTGACTGGGAATGCAACTGGAGACCTTTCAGTTTGCAGGCTGATGCTAAACCCACTGAGTTACACTAGCCAGGGCCCATTATATAAGGTCTTAAGTATGTATTCCTTGCATATAATGTGAGGGCCCTCTAATTTTACTCGAGGTGGCCCCACTATAACAAATGGTAACTTAAGGGAATAAATTTAACATTTATTTAATGTTGTGTATTTAATTTGTTGGTTTTTTTTTTTTTTACTGTAAATAAACATGCCTATAATAATGAAAATTTAGAAAAGAGGAAAAGGGCAA